GGAGCTTGGAATGCCCTTGCCAGAACATCAGATTGCGATCTGAAATCGATCAATCACTGTGGTCCCAGGAGCCTGGGATTATTGTGTAGCTTGGATAAATTAAGTACTAGTGAATTGCGTGTTGGAGATACTCTGAACCCGTACATTTAAGCATGGATGTCAGCTGCTATTTCTGAGAATAGTGCATGATGGATGAGGTGCCACTGTCTGGACAAAGGCAAATACAGTATCTCTTTGAAAAAGAAAAAAAAATCATAGCTTTCTAAATAAACTTTATTGTTCAAGAAATGTTAGAACTAATGAAGTACTTACAAGGATCCAAGTTATAAACATTTGTATGTCAAATGATGTAATATTTATTTTTGTCTCAGCCCTGCAATACTTTGAGCACTTGGGAGCAACACATTGCAAGAGAAAAACTCACAGAAGTGGATAAATGTGAGGGATTGATTTACTGAGAAAGACACATTAGCCTACAGGAGACAGGCAAACCTGCAGAAAGAGAATATTCTGTTCTCTGAGGGGTAGGTAGGGGAAGTAATATGGATACATTGCAGCAAGGGAGGCTTTAACTGAAAGAAGAGGAAAGCTTTGCAGTTGTGAAGGTGAGCCATAGACTGGATTGGTGAAGAATCTGTGGAATCTCACTTTTCAGGGTCCTCAGTTAAATTACCCCAAAGTCCTGAGTGCCAGGTTAAAAATCTGGGTCCTTTTCAGCCTTGGTGACCGTGAAGAATGTGTGTCTAAAGGACAGAGTATGTCTGACTTCTGGATTTGGAGGCTCATCCAGCAAGGGGGCTTGACTGCCTTGCCTGTACAATTTGCTGGCAGTGTCATTACATTTCTTGGAATTAATACAAATTTATTAACCCCAGCAAAAATGACGTATGCGTGGGAGGATTTTTAAAATAATTATGATTTTTATCTGTGAAAGTAGCCTTACTTTATTTACATTCTTTATAGACTAAATGTTTTTGTTAGTGTCTGTTTGCTGGGCTTCATGTGTTGCTGAGGCCATGGTAATGAATGGTGTTAGTGCAGATATCTATCAGTCAGAGGAATCAAAATCTCAGAATGAGATTATACCATGGGAAATAATTCCAGAAAGACCAAACATACAGAGTTAAAGTTTAGTTTGTGTACAGCACAAACCTTGGTGATAGTTCTGCAATGTTCTGCATGTTTAGCATTGTTCAGCCATCCTGCCTTGGTCCAGTCAGGTATTTGCTGCTGCTGGAATGTTACATTTGTTTTTCATTGCTTCTCAGATGTTTTTGAATTTTTCTGTGGAAGAGATGTTAAAAATGCTGCTATTCTTTCCTTTAGACGGATCTGGCATTCAAACAAAAACAAAAGGAAGAGCAAAAGAAACTTGAGGAGATGAAAGCGAAAGCTGCTGGAAAAGGGCCCCTGGGTAAGTGAGGTGCCATCCTGGCAGGAGAAATGGGGGTCTTGCTGGCTTCAAAAATTTAATGTTTTTGCTTGGCAAACATAAAAAGGCAGGTGCCTCTGGGTTATTTGACAGAGATAAGTAAGATGATGGCAGGTACATATGATATAGAACAGAGGAGTTCCAGTACCTGCTTCTGTAGAGCTTTGATCCCAGCTGGGGGCTTTGGTGTAGGGATAACTGCTTTTATTCCCTTAGCCTTGGTTTTGATTTGACCAGACTGTGCTTCTGCTATATTAAAAAAATTAAATGGAAAAACAAAGTAACTGCTGGAATATTTAGTTCCATTGTAGAATCATGGGGCATACTTGGTTCCAGAAGAAACTTAATTTCTAATGTTAAATAAATCACTGTTCACAGTAAGGTGTGTGAGATCAAAACCACACAGGAGTAGTCACACATGCAGAAACAATTCACCCCTGGGGACCTGGGCTGTGCAGGCTGTCTAATGGGGGATTCAGCTTTATGAGGAACTGCATTTGTAGCTGAGCTCTGTCACAGTCACCTGACCAGCTGTGTTGTTTCTTTTGGCAGCCAGTGGTGGAATAAAGAAGTCTGGCAAAAAGTAGCTTGATCAAACTGCAGGGTAAGAAGTGATCAAGTTACTCAATGGACCTGCAGACTTCAGAGAGTCTTGAAAACACTCTGTCATTTGGGAAACATTGTACATTTTGTTTTGTCAGAATAAATCCTTTTTGTTAAGATGTGATATTTGCTCTTTACCTGTAGGTTTTGTTTAAAAATGGCTTTACTGTTTTATACTGGAAATGAAACTTTTACTGAAGACCATGTGTACCCTTGTGCAGCCTGAGTGCATCTGGTGGTTTGGTTGTCATTTGTGAGAATAAATTTCAACTTCTCCTCTCTTTTGACAGTGGAGTCACGGCCTGAGTGTTAAAATCTGCAGAGTTTTAATCTGGAGGCTTAGGTTTAGCTGCAGTTGTCTGAGATGTGGCTATATCAGTGCTGTAAGTTTTCTTTAAACAAAACTTGGGTTATACTTTCATCAGCAGCACCTTGGGGTCAGCCACTGCAAAACAACACTCCTTTAATGTTCCTACTGAAGAACACTGCTGTGCCCTACAGTCCCACTGCCTGCTGAACATACACTTGCCTTTGTCCTACAACTACACCGTTTTCCTAAGATACATCTTGACATCACAGCTCCTTTACACTCATGGAATGCCTTTGGGGTGGAGAGGGGAGGGGAGCAGTGCTTTTGAGACTATAGCTGAATTACTGAAATGAATGGCAGTGATTGAACAGTGGTTATGGAGACTTGAAGGAAGGAATATGCTGTTCCCAAGGTGGGAGTGACAGGGAAAGAATCAATTCAAAGGCCTTATTACTGAAGAGAAATTGTGACACAGAGACTGTTCCTGCTGTCAAGCAAGGTAGCTGATGGCTGCAGAGAGGGAATAGCTTCTGAGAACAGCGAGACTGACGGCGGGGAGGAGCTACATGGGAAATCTGGGCTCGTACGGGCTGAGCTCCTAAGGAACTCAGGTGGTGGCTGTTCAGTGCACAGCGTGCAACTAAGGGTTTCCTTGTTAAAAAGACATTTTTAGAGGGTTTAGGGGCGTTACCTCCTTGCCTCTGAAACGCGAGGCTCTGTTGCAGCAGGGCGAGTGCTCTGGACGCCTGCCATCAGTCCGTGCCGGGGGCCGCCGGCAGCGCCTGTGCCACGGGGCGGGACCGGGACCGGGACCGGGACCAGGGTCGGCGTCGGGCGGGGCCGCGCGCGGGGGTCCCGGCCTTCTCCGGACTCTGCCGCCCCCGCGCGGCGGCCGCGGGAATCGCGGGGCGCGGACCCGTTGCCGCCGCTCTGCGCATGCGCAGCGCTCCCCGGCGGCCCCGGCGAGGCCCCTGAGCTCGGCCCCGCCGCTCCCGCACGGCACGGGCGGCTCCTGCCCGCAAGGCCTCGCCTTGTATTCCCGAGCCTTGAGGAGCCAGCCAGCGCTGCAGCCTCGGCCCCTCAGCTGACACAGCTGCAGCCACGCAGTTCTTACCCCGTGGATCAGCCTCATCTCACGTGCCAATGGGTTCATAGGAAGAACAGATCCCTGCTGTCCTCCAAAAGGGGATAAATCAGCCCTTGGTGATACTGAGAAAACTGTCGTTCTCTAACAATACTTTTCTGGACATCAGATTGAGTCCTGCCAGCCAGATACAGCGTGTGAAGGCTGAAATTCAAGATTGCATCATTCTTGCATCTTGGATAAAGGTGCCTTTGGTAACAGAAAACTATTCACACAAAAATGTAGGACAAAGCTGCCTTAGAGCAGGGACTGCGCATGCATCTGTGCAGAACACTGAAAGCAACACAAGCCACCACTGGTACCTCTTGGGCAGAGCTCCAGCCATGAAACACAACCAGAGGCAGAGTGTGCTCCCAGTTCTGCACGCTCAGTCAGAGCCCAAGCTGGCTTCACTCCCATCAGTGGCAGATCCCTGCCCACACTGCCCACGGGCACCCCCATCTCCACTGGTGTCAAAGTAGGTACCGCGGGAGGTGGTTTAAATGAGGAAGAAGAGGGACAGGGAGACAACCCACTCCGAAATATAAGATAAATAAAACTTTGGCAATGTATCAATAAGGAATTGTTTGTCCCAGGAATTAGTGAATGAAATGATTGAGGTTGCTGATCCCAGCCAAGCTAACTTGAGGTGGTCTCAGGGAGGGGCAGTGAACAGTGATGTGTGCTCCACAGCATGAGACAATATGCAAAAAGCATTTCAGCAAAAAAGCAAGACAAGATGGAAGGAGACCAAATGGCAAAGTGACAGATCACTGCAGTGGGAGAGCTTTTCTCAATAGGCTTAACTTTAATGTAGGCACTGAACTGCGCTCCTGGCCAAGAGTCCTCCTGTTTAATATTAGGCTGTAGAAATGAAGCTAAACAAAGGGACACTTTGTATCTTTTTACATAATGCTATGTAATAAATGGCATTTCATTTCTTACTGCAGCTCCAGTTCAATCTTAAACTAATGCAAAGACAGTACAACTCCTAAATTGATATACATAAAATTATCACAGTCTGAAGGGCACAGAAAAAACAAAGTCCAAAAGGCAGTTGGAAATGGATGTCAAAATAGCAGCAAAATAGACACAAATATTCTTTGTAGGGAAATCCATTGAAGGATACGATTGCTGTAATCAATTCAAGTCAAGCTCTACTGTTTGAAAAGACTTTGCCCACTCTTTAGAGTTAGTTCAACTCCAAGGAAATTATACCCTGTTCTGAATGGCTTCCAGATACTGATTCTGTGAGGTCTTAGAAGAGGAAACTTCTCTAGTGTAAAAGACAGGAGATTAAATAAGGACCAAAATAATTCTGTATTTGGCAGCAGAGGGCCTACCGCTTCCATACTGTTTCTGTGGATGTCACAGAACTTGTAGTACCTCCAAACCAGACTGGGAGCAACCAACTAAAGGACTTTATCTTGTGAAAACAAGTAATTAATATACCCTTAAGTTCAGGTGTAAGTGTCAAAGAGTTAAATTTTAGTAAAGAGGTAAGAATAAAAAAAACCAACAGGGCAAAATAAAGCTGTGATGTAAAACAGCTTAGGTGTCCAGGAGATTTATTTTGATGTACTTACAGAAACTTACTTTTCCCGTATGTGGGAAAATAATATTCTGCCGAGCACATAATTAATTATATTTCAGTTCTTTAGATAATAGTTCTTGCTTATCTTTTTGCTCATCTCAAGTCACTTGTCTATAATAAGAGAGCATATCATCTAAACTTTGATAAAGTGGTTCCTGATTTGGAGTGTTACTGCTGTCAGTCTGCACTGGAGGTGCTGCATCCTGAGTGCTGCAGCCACTGGCCTGTGTTCCTGGTGGCACATCCTGGGTGCTGCTGCCACAGGTGTCTGTTCCTGGTGGCATCTCTTGGATGCTGCACCCACAGGTGTGTGTTCCTGGTGGAACATCTTGGCTGCTGCATCCACAAGTGTGTATTCCTGGTGGCACATCTTGGCTGCTGACATCACAGACCTGTGTTCCTGGTGGCACATCCTGGGCACTACAGCCGCAGGTCTGCATTCCTGGTGGCACACCCTGGGTGCTGCATCCACAGCTCTGCATTTCCGGTGGCACACCCTGGGTGCTGCATCCACAGCTCTGCATTTCCGGTGGCACACCCTGGGTGCTGCACCCACAGCTCTGCATTCCTGGTGGCACATCCTGGGTGCCATAGCCATAAGCCTGCATTGCAAAGGGCATCTCAGGAGTGCCATAGCCGTATCCGTGCATTGGTGGCACCATTCCTGGTGCTCCATAGCCGTAGGCCTGCACGGGGAAGGGCACCTCGGGGGTGCCGTAGCCATAGGCTGGCATGGGTGGTGGCACACCCTGGGTGCTGTAGCTGTAACCCCGCAGTGGTGGTGGCACACCTCGGGCACCGTAGCCATAAGCCTGTGCTGGTGGTAGCACGTCCTCGTCCTCACTGCTGTCATCCTCTGCTGATGACACGCCCTGAGTGTCACGGCCACTGGGCTCTGCTGACCCTGGCTTATCTGGAATGTTGTTGTTGGAAGCCTGTGCTGATGGTGGCACATCTCCAGTGCTGCTGCCGTTGCCCTGCACTGTTGGCTTCTGTTGGTTTTGTGCTCTCTCCGTTTCCAGGTTTTCAGAGGAGGTTTCAGAACTGTTAAAATTCTGACTTCGGTAATAATCATCTTTCTTTTGTCCCAAAAAGTAATCAGAAGGTGGTGCAAATTCTGGGTCTCGCTCATCTCTAAGTTCTTCCTGTTTCTTTTCCCATTGTCCAAACATCAGTTCTGTTAGAAAGAGGAAAATGGTAGATTTAGCATAGATTTCAAGGTCTGAAGGTCAGTCAGACAGGAGGGAAAACAAACGGGCAAACAAAGAATATGGAAGTGTGTAAAGCCACCTGAAGTTCCTTTTCCACCTCAAACTACATGGAAACACAAGAATCTAGTGCAGATTCCTTCAGTGAACCACACTTAGTTTACTATGCTTTTTAGAGTAAGCTGTCCTCTGCTTTCTGATTGTAGTATTTGCTGCACTACTGCCTGGGTGTTAGTGAGACACCAGGCTTTCTCAGAGGGTGGTAAAAAATAGTGTCAGGCAGGATAAAGATTTATGAGACAGGATCTGGAAGTTTGGGGTTTTAATGGAACCATGAAGTTTCCCCTCATAGTGATGTTCATTAATGGAACATAAAGTTTGAAAAGTAAGAAAAAACTGGAAGTACCAGTCTTACATAAAAGAGGAATAGTGTTAGTTATAGTACTGAAGAAAGCGAGCATTTATGTGCTTTGCCTATTCCTTGTTTGCTTTTACTTAGAAGTCAGGCATCAGATTGGAAGAATGTGCATGAGCTTAGATTAATAGTGCAAAATGAGTTAATAGGTTTGGGAAGGACCTACAGCCATCACTTTGTGACAAGGAAGATGCCTCAAAACAGAACACAGGCACTCAAGTGGTCTCTGTTTGCATCATGTTTTAGTATCGTGCTGTACCTGTTTGTGTGATACATCCTGCTGTCATGTAGCACAAACCACAGGAATAAATCAAAAAAAGATCACACTGTACATCTTATGAACTACAGAATTTGTCATTCTGTCAACCTGCCAAGATCATCCAGAAATGCAGTAACTCATATAGAAGAAAAATTTTGGGGACATTATAGCAGCTAGTGGCACAAAGGCATCCTTGTCAGTCACTGCCCTGGACCCTGGAGAGTCATCAATACCAAGACAGAAAGGATTTCAGTGCTTCTCAGTCTTACCCTACTTTGGCCACAAGATAGAAATGAAAGTGGCAGTGTACATGCTCTTTCCCAACAATGTTCCTGAATCTACATTTCCTTACCTTTGCCTTTATCCCACTCTCGGACATAAGGCACTCCAGGCTTTGTATCTCTCCTTTCCTGGATGATAACCTCTACCTTCCTACTTGCTGCAGTAGCTCTTGGAGGTTCTGGTTCTTCAGCAGCACCTTTCACCTCTGTGTTACAGGAAGAGATAGTAGAGACTGTCAGTTACAGAACAAAATCTGCATGACCCTCACAGGTAAAAATAAGAACATTTTTTTCCATGTATCTCCAATAAGAACAGTATCTCTATTGCATTTACTAGAGAAAGCAATTTACATTCTTATTCTTCTGAACAACCATAACAGTGAGCAGTGGCCTGATGCTGTTCTTCATTTCCAGAACACTTCACAGTTAATCACTTGCATGGAATTCTGACACAGTGAAAGATTAGCTACATTTTCCAGTGGGAGACAAACAGTACAAGTTGACTATCAGTGTCGTAAGGGAGACAGCACAGAGACAGGATTAGAATTCAAATTCATAATCCTAAATCCTAGAGTCAGCTGTATCTCCAATTCACACACTGCACTGAAACTGTCACAGTGTATATTGTATGACATCAAAATTGACTTGTTACTACTTATTCTAGCTCTTCTTCAAAGAAGAAAAAACCACTACAATGTCAGCAGCTCTAACCTCAACCTGCACAATTAACCTATGTAATTCCTGCTGTCAGGTGTGAATCAAAAAAAGGCTACAATCTACATACCATATTTCTACCTGCATTACTAAGCTACTTCTGCCATGATTTTATATCTACACACAATTACATCAAATCTCACTATCCTAACAGTTCTGTTAATTATATATATAGACCACACAATACCAATATATTGAATGTCTAAACAAACACAAATTAGAATCTGTCTGTCCATAGATCAAGAACAAAGTGAAATAGCAAGTATTTAACTTAAAAAGGCAACAGATCATACCTCCATTCTCCAGTTTTTCTGCCTCTTCCTCTAATCCAGCTTCCCTTAACTTTTGAATCTTCCGTGCTCGAAGTTTGGACAGCCTTGCATCTAGAGCTGCCTTCCTCTTTTCCTTCAGCTGTTCACGTTTATTTCTCTGATCAAGTGTCTAAACAGCAAAGAAAAACATGAATTAATCTTCCTTTGTTATTATAAACAAGTACATATCTTCCTTCACAAAACAACTAAAAGCAATGCTAATTAAGTACCAGGTTTCAACAGGAAAAAAGAAGCCAAGTTTCTTTGGCTTCTCTGGAGTCAGTTGCAGGCATCACCTAATATAGTACTTATATAATAAATCTAAGACAGTAACCACTGAAACCACTCTGCCCTCGCAGCCCAGTCTGCTCTTTACTCTCATACCTGCTCCCTCAGCATGTCCAGGGTTGCCCGTTGTTTATGCCTGAGTTCTTGGTCCCGAGAAAAGGCAAAGTAACCAACACCGAGCTGCCTGGCCTCTGAAAGGAGAGAAATAGTAGGTTTAAGTTAGATTCAGTTTATAATTGACAGTAACTACAGCCTCCAGGCATCCTGCTTTCAGGCATGGAATTATTCCCAACATTGCATTAGTTTTAGATGGCTAAAAAAGGCTTGCTTTAGATGATACATAAAGTGAAGCTTCCTGAAGGAGAACACATGAGGAGGGAGAGAAACATTTGAGAAAAATACAATTTGAAGAAAAAATAAATCTAGATGTATGTACTGGTAACTTCCACTAGTGGCTTAACACACACCTACACTTTGCCATACAGGCACAGGAAGTAACTTTCTCTTGCTCCCTCTACAACTGATCTCTTTGGTGATACAAAGGTAAGTGATGTAAAGGATGGCAGTGTACCATTTTCTCGGATGTCCTCATAATGTATGGGTCCCATGGGTTTTCTGAGGGCTTCTTCTTCTTCCTTTTCCCACTGTTGTCTCTGGAGTTCTCTTCTCATGTCTTCAGATAACAGAGTATTCCCATCAGGTTCTTGTCTAATTAAAAAAAATGAGGATTACAGAGCAGAATTTACCAGTTTGTCAGTATCAAACAGTGCCAGTATGATTTGGTCTGATCCACTACTGCAGTTTCCACAAAACACAGATCATTATAGACACTACCTAGTGATACAATGTTGATGACTATGGAACCTGATCGAGATAGAAATACAAAGCAGCCTCTAAAACAAGGTACTGGTAGAATGTGTTATTAAAATCATATCCCTTCTCAGAAGCTTTATGAAATAATTATCAAATCACAGAATGGGAGATGAAATAATCAGTTCTTGGCATCTCCGGGGATTCCGGCAATCACATATAGGAACATTTCAGATTTAATGCAAGAAAATGAAAGGTATTTGAAATAATAAACATTTACCCAAGAGATCCACACAAAATATTAATTCAAATATTAATACCCAAATATTAATCAGGAAGCAATTTTAACAGAAGAGCTGTTAAACGGCTGTTTAACAGAAAAACAAAACCAAACAAATGGAGGTCTAAAAAATTAACTTTGAACATCATGAAGAATTTGGAATTGCTAAAAGACTATCATCAGTTTCCACGTTAAACAGAACCAGGAACCACTTTCCTGGCATTTTATGGAAGGTATAATGTAATACAAGGACCCCAGTTTTTAAAGATGCAACGAATATCTAAGATTGCTACATCAATTCATTAAAACCTTTCTCTGCAAATTATGCAAATCTAAAGAAAGCAGTAACATCAACTCTAAATTGAGAACAGGGTGACAAATCACAACCTCTCTTCCTTCTCATAAAAAAATGTTAACTACTGAGAGGAATATGCAGCTCCATTAGAGAAACCACACCTTTTCCCTTGAAGTTCCTGATCCATTTTGAGTAGACTTGGTAAATCCTTCTTCATACAGCGTCTAGATCGGCCCAAGAAATCAACATAATCAACCCTGTAATGAAAGAAAAAGAAACATGATGCAAAACTATTTGCAGATTGACAGAAGTCTTACCCAGAAGACAGAAGCAGTGACCCTTTCCAAAGAGTATTTGTCACCTCTCAGTCTATCTGTGTGTGACAGTTGCTCCAGCTTTTCACTTAACACTCCCAGATTAAGAGGACAGCTCTGAATGGGGCATATGACAATTCTACCAGGCATTTATTCAATCTCCCTTTGAGACCCCTGTTTGACTGGGCAATAAAATGGTGTAAAAAATGTTCAAAAGTAACAATGTCACGTAGTTTTCACAATAAAATAGAACTCAGCCTACTGTTTGCTTCCCATGGTGAAGATAATGATGCAGCATTGACTTCAGGTGGATATGAAATCGCTACAATACATTTCAATTATCAGTCTAAATTCCATTCAGAACAGACTGATAGTGTGCATTCAACTGGCATAACAAAGGCTTACTAAAACACAAGTAAAATGTTCCTCTGAAGCTATTATGCTTCTTATTCAACTCTTTATAGTACTGAATACCTGATTTACAGTTGTTGAAAAAGCTGTTAAGAGCTACACTTATTGTCCTGTGATGTAGAAAGTTCTTTAGCACCAAGCTGCCTCAATTATCCCATTCTAAACAATATTACATCTGAAAAAGTATGACTGGCAATCTAGCTCCCAACGCCCAAACTTTTAAAGATCTGTGCTTTTAGTAAGTCTTTTACATAGTTTCTGAGGATATCTGTAGTTTATTATTTGAAGAATGGAGGTGCTGTTTTGTATTGGTTACTTCTGGTTTAAACTGATTACCAGAAGTAAAATCTCTTATTCCACAAGCATTTTAAACAAATGGGCAAGGAAAATGTTTAGTCAGGACTGGTTTCATAAATATTCCTAATGTCTCAGATGAAAAACTAGTGGTTACTTGGAATGACACAAAAAATTGTCAGAGACTATTTGCTGTGTTGAAAATCGTGTTCTTATTCCAACCAGTTTCTCTCCTTTAAGAGAAGGCTGTACAGTGAAATGACTGCTCATTTTTAAGTCACTCATAATTAAAGAAGGGAGGATGAATACCATAAAATCCTCAAGTTTTGCTAAAATACATTTCAATTCAGCACATCAAAGCATAAAATGGTACCAATACTGATGACTACTCACATAAACTATGCAAGAAAATAAAAGGGGAGATGATGTTGTCCCTGCTATAGTACATTGCCCTCAGATCCTGGGTATAGATTCTATTGCAGTGTTACCTATGTGGAAATCAATGTGACATGGAGACTGTCTTTATAGGAGAAATGAAAGACTCTTAACACCTCCTTATCAATGTGCAGTATTAAACAAAAAAGAAAAACAAAGGTGCCACTTCACACATGTTGGAAAAGAAAAGTATTGTCTCATGCAATTCTCAAGAATAAGCATGGCCAGGACAGATGAGTCCAATCAGTAGCACCAACCATTCCTCATCTGGGTCCTCTGGCGGTGGAATGTCTGCTTCAGGCTGAGTTTCTTCCTCATCTGTGTCTCTTTCTGAAGTCTTCCCAGTACCTTCACTCTGATGCAGCTCCTGTACTTCGTGCTGCTTGTCTATGATCTTCTGAGTGAAATCCACCAGGTACAAATCCTCAGTTTCTTCATCTAAGGCAGAAAATCAATTCTTAGAGAACAGCCATGAAAAGAACAGAACTGAGCAGAAAATCAATACCAAATAGCTACAATCAGCTTTTCAGCTGCCTGCAATGCCCTTGACCACACTATTGGGGAGCACTTAAATCTCATTCAGTGCCAAACAAACCCAGAGCTATCAACTGGCTCCATCTATTTCTCAATCGAAGTTTCAGGGCATTGTGTGCAGTACCAAAAAGGCTCCGTTCTTTGCAGCATAACATTCTCTGCTTGTTAACTATTTCATAAGCAAAGGATGTGTCACATAACAGCTCAAATACTGTTTTGATGCTTAACACTTGGTATGTTGCCAGGAGCCAAGCATTCATGAGGGTACTTTTTAGAAGAGTAGAGGAAAGTGGTGGGGTCATATGGATGGAGATGGACACTGGTAAAGAAAACAGATTAACTGCAAGGAGATTTGTATTCTATTTTAATAATTACTTTTTGAAAGGGACTGAATGTGTGAGAGAATAAAGGAACAGATTAGCATTCTCCAACCCTATTAGCTGCATGACTGGCACTCACATATGGACCAGCTAGACTCCTCTCCTGATCCTCTTCTCCTCATAAAGGCCAAACAATTAGGATGCAGGACAGAGCATCAGCAATGCAATCCAAAGATTGTACAATGGAGAACTTTTTTTTTTTTAAGATACTGTATTGAAACCAGAATATAGTCCACCCTCTTAATGAGTGAAAAAAGCCCCTAATGTTTTACTTGGTCATTTTGGATTAGTATTGTTCACCTGGGAAGTCTCCTTTTGTCATTTTCTCATACAGCTTTGCTTTCTCTTCAAGCTTCTTCCTGAAAAAGAAGAAAAACATTAACATTGCAATCCCACCAATTCCAAGCACAGTTTAAAGTGATCTATTTAGCCTTAGATAAATGGAACAGGAAAATCCTGGGAGTGCTTGAGGTATTTATTAGAAGCTGACTTATGCCTGGCTTATATTTTGAACCTTCACTAGCATTTTTGAAGATATAATCTTTTCCAGTTCCAGAATTTATACTGAAAATAATTATAGTGAAGTTACAAATTTAATCTCAAATGTAATTTGTCAAGTAGGCAGAAACATGATGCTACAAGAATTCCACCTTTATCTAAGTGGTCTGTCAGATAAACATTGGAAGCTAAACCATTATTTGCAGATACTGAAAGACAGTTTTACAGGGAAAAAAAAAAGATAACACAAAGTTACACTTGATCTTAGAAACTGAAGAGAAAGCCTTAGCTAATTTCTGGAATTTCAAAGAGCAAGGAACTGCTTACAGAAGCACAGCAAATGGTTTAAAAATTGCATTTTCAACATATATATTTTTGTACAACCAACCCATTTGGAAAATTCTTGAAAAAAGTGAGTAATTTTCTGTCAAGCCCAAGAAACACTTTCCTATAGAATTCTAACATATTGCTGCACTGGCTGGTAATTCTAAAGATTATTATAAAAAGTCATCAGCAACCTGACACATTTAGACAGCTGTGATAATGTGAGGGCACGAGAGCATGAGACTGCTGGGATGCAGTTTGTACACGACTGGTAAAAACTATTGATGATGCTGGAATTACTGGTTGGTCTAATGAGAACTGCTAGTCCAAAAAACTTCCTTCTGTGCTTTTCTAAATACCAAAAACCAAATTCTGCAAAACATTTCTTTCTTACAGAGCCTAAGAGCTACCTTGATTTATCCAATATATCCTGCTCTTCTGCCTTCTCCTCAACATCTTTCGCAGCTCGATTTACAACTCCTGTGTTCTGTTTGGTCCAGATACTTGGTTTCTGCAGAGGACAATTTTGTAACAACAACAAATAGATGAAAATATTGAAATGGTAACAATAAAAAAAAATTTCAATTCTATGATGCAAAGGATGCACATCAATCATGGAAGACTCTGTGAATGACATCTTACACATGTTTGATTTGAGACTGTTCCTGTCTCAAGGATATAGCAGGTATGTCCTGAATTAACACAGGCTGCAGGATAGTATCATAGTTAAGGGCAGCTGAGAAGCTAAAAAATCCAAAGGCAGTCAGAAATTAGACAAAATCTATTCTGGCAAAGAAAAAACCCAAAAACCCAATCACGCAATCTTGCTGATTAAATATGTATTAACAAAGCTACAAATTGTTTCTATTCTCTATTGCATCCATTTTAGATAAAAAATACAATCAGTTTGCCTGTTTGCAGTGTAACACTGTAAATGCTGCATGTGCTTCAAATTTGGTAGGAACAGCACATTCTGCTTCTACAAAGCTACAGAATGAACAAAACCCAAAGTGCAGTATAGAGCAAAACAAGAGAGATAATTGTGTATTCATTATTGTACACCACAAACAGATAACAGAGCATTTATCAAAGAGGTTCAGTGACTCAGGAAGAGTCTCTCATCCTCCATCCTGCAGCATCATACAAAATCCTCTAATAGAGAAAGAAACATCTTTTCCTACAATTAAACGGTGTGGATTCTTGGGACATAAAGATTAAGTGGGGATTTAGATGGGCATAAACACAAGACTAAGCTTTCTGCTGTGCACAGGAATCTCTCCTAGAAATGAACTTCAAAGAACATTCTCATTCATGTACATCTTATATTTGACTAGAAACACAGCACAATTATTTAGATTCGAATATTAACTTCCTTACTTTCAGGAGAAAGAATGACAAAAACAACAATGGAAGACTATTTTTACCTTATTAGATGTTCTAGGCTTTGCAAAGACACCAGCATCTTTCAATAGCTTTTCTTTCTTGAATTCCTCTTGCTTTCGGAAGAGTTCGGCTTTGAGATCTACCAGCTACATCACGAGCAAAACAACACATAAACAACAGATCACATGCACAGACATCAGTTACTGCAATAAATAACTGTATTTCAGGAAATAATCTGCTGTTTACCATTATACAGCATTTGATTGCATTTTCATGTGGTACTTTGAAGCACTGATCTGATCACCAAGATCTCGTTTTACAGCAAACAAAATAGAAAACCACAGAATGCAAATTATGATTAGAGATTAAAACAATCCCCAAAGATATCCCCCAAAGTTTTCCTTGATCGTTTGCCACATAGTGAGGATAAGAGAGGCATAACTCTGTCTAGATTTTACCAGCCTCCTAATGGCAAACAAGTAGAGAGGGAGTAATGAAAAACACCACTGAATATGAAAAGGGAACTTTTAACCATTAGATAATTAACAAAATCCTGTCTTAGAAAATAATGGATAAAAGTTTGCTGTCATAAAAAATATCTAGTTTCCCCACTGCTTTATGAACTGGTTTAGATTTTCTTTCTTCTTATTTTTAAATAAATAGATGAGTAGCATTGCCATTTCTGACCAAGGTCCATCTCAGCTTTTATTAAGAAACGTCACCAGCAGAGGTGTTATCTTGGAATTACAAAACTAGTCTTAGAAGAGGATATCGTGCTACTTTTCCTGCAAGTCCTACAGATGACAAACTTCAGAGATGTACATTAAACCAGGAAAGTGGAAGACCTTGGTATTAATATTTGTCCCAAACACTAAAGCATTTGCTTTTCAAGTCCCTGGGACAACGAAGTGCAGTGTCGTAAAAATCACCCGTTCTCCCTTCTGCTTAGAGATGATCATCCAAAAATTCAATATAAAGTATTTCACAGTTAACTATTAATGTGCATTAACTCTTTACATAACTCTTCATCCGAAGTGTTTGGCAGCATCTCTCATGAGTGTCCTGGAGAGCAGCGAGGGGCAGCACCTCACCATCCCTAAGGGTGGGAAGTTAATCTGCCACAGCACAGATCTCTTGCTCCTTAGGAAAAACTCTTTTCCCTGTTATGGCCTAATTTTATCATTACATCAGGAATGCGAGCAAGGCCAGGCCCGGCAGACTCGGGTTTGGAGCGCAGGGCGTGTACCTGGTCAGGAAGGTGAGGGGACAAAATCCCAGCCCCGACACTGTCACAGCCCCATATGCGAAACACGGCGTTACCACAGCCCTTTAATCCAGCATTTGCTGCAATGACTGCACATCGCAGTGGGGTTGAGGAGGAGACAGGACACCAGCACTTCCCAGGTGTGCTCTTTGCCCTGGAAGCGGAGGCACCAGCGCATTCCCGGGTCGAGCCTCACGGCCTGCGCCGGCCAGGCCCGCTCCGCCCGCGGGAGCCCAGCGGCTGAGCGCACCTCACAGCCCTACAAGCCTCCTGGGCAGGCGGAGGGGTTCATTTTGCCTCTCCCCGCTCAGTCACTCACCGAGGACGCGGCCACGTCCAGCGGCTTCTTCCTCCGGTCCATGGTGGGACCGGCCCCGCCGCCGCCTCCTTCCCCGCCGGGCGGCTCTGCCGTAAAGCGCGGCGGAAGCACGGCGCTATCGCGACAGTGCTGTTGGGGGCGGGCGCTGCCGCCATCTTGGGGAGGTCGGGGGCGCTCGGTCTGGTGTAGTTTGGCGGGGGCCGAGAGCTCCCGGCCGGGACTTCCCTGGCTTTGGGTAATCTCTGTATTCAAACTGAGTGTGAAAATGAGCGTTTCTGGCAGGTGAGGGAGAAATCCTTCAGGCTTGCCACTGGAAGTGTCCTAGTGCAGCCGCGGGGCTTTAGCTGCTGCTGTTGTGACAGAACTGGGGGTGGCCGCTATGGCCAGAAATTGACAGGATTGCAGGCTGGCCCAGAGCTGGGGTGGGGCTTAGATGAAGAAGTACATGGTTAAAACTTGGCATCAATGTGGGCTCCTTACGTGGTGCCAGTGCCAAGTCACACGCTGAAGCCAGGTATTCCTATTTCTTATTCTTATTTGTGCAAAGTGGGGTGTTGACCCATGCAAGGTTAATTCACTGATCATCCAAACTTCACACTATTTATACAACTTAATAAACATAGGCATCAACATTCCTCGGTTACAGATTACTCCCCTATTTGCTAGTTCTGTCTCTTGCTTCTCCTGCTAATTAGTCTGCAGGCACAGTTCTTCCCTCCATTTGAGTCTGGGGCCCGTTTTGAGAAGGTGGTCAATGAGTTGTCACAATCTCCTACTGCCAGAATCACCTTTCCCCAGGTACTGCTCAGTTCTGACTTCACTCCTGGTTCCTCTCATCCAAACAGCCCATCCATTTGGGGATCGTCTTCTCTTTTTCTTGAGACAGTAGATTGGCAAAAATATTATGCCCATGATGCAATTGCTTCATCATAACCATCCAGCTACAGCTACTGATTAACACCTAAAAAAAGAGCAAAGTTTGAGTCAACCCCCTATCAAAACCCTGAGAGCCTCAAAACTTGAGGGGTTTGGTATGATCAAGAGGAAAAAACCGTCAAAAAACCCAAAAAACAAACCACACCAAAAAAACCCAAACACAACCAGGAAAAAACCCAACCCAAACCAACCAACCCAAACTAAAACTCTTTCCTGTCCTAGTTGATAAGTGAGTGCCACAGAGATGAAACCTGAACATAACAGCCAAGCACAAACCCAGCTACAAGTGATGGATCCAGCTCTGTAACCTCAGAGAGGAGCACAGGTGCTCTTGGGGAGAGAGATTCAGAGTTTTAATTATACTGGCTAACTCTTTATACATTTTTCATCTCCATGAAGAAAAAGGACTATCTGATATGTTTTAATTGAAATACTGAAAATCATAGTTATCTGTGGTTGCAAGAAGAAGCTGCCTCTCACTTTTCTTTAATAAGGTGGAAAAAATATAAGGTGCTCTGATGTTGCTTGGCAGTGTGACAGCTGATAGAAGCAGCAGATACCAAATCAGAAGAGCACTCAGCTCTTCTGAGTTTTGAAATGTATTGCTTTTGTGTTTGGCAAACTGAGTCAAGGCTGTGTTTAGTAGTTTATGGACACAGAATTGCAAAGCTGAGATAATCAGTTGCTAAGAAAGCTGCACCTGTATTCCAGGGAGTGTGAAGTGTCCAATTGAGAAAGAGCAATTTCTGTCCCTAGTGAAGCTGTCTTGGTTTTGGCTGTTTAAAAGGGGAATTGGTGAGAGACATCAGATACAGAGAAGTGCAGGTCGTATTAGAGTCATAAAGTATTTTAATCTGCAATGGAAGAAGAGAAACTCTCATTACTGAAAAATAGGACGAATGAATGAAAACATCTGTGCTGTTCTAATTAAATCACACTTCAACAAATCGTTTATTATTGCCTGTTCAAACCTCACCTGGTGACAACACTAGAGAATGAAAAACAGCCAAAACCCAGGCCAGGGCTGGCTCTTAAAATGTTCCTTTCTGGTTGAGGGTGAGATTCATCCCCGAGTTTGTAAGGAAAATCTGTACTACTGACAGGATGTGGAAAAGGAATTATTCCTAGAAATTCTAAGCTGGCTTCTGCTGCTGTGAGGATTGCAGAACTGGCATTTGTGTTCTTGCAAGAAGCAGTGGATTGCTCTGTGAGTAGCAAAGGTCTCGCTAGGCATGCCTCGGTTAGGAATTGAGTCAGCGTCCCTGATGCTGTATAGAACCGAGGGACGTGTGCGACGAGATAAATTCAGCTCATGTTCTCTCTCGTGTAGCATCGGCAGGCGGGGAAACACCCGGAGCAGGACAGAGGGGAACGCTGCTCCTGCCGGAGCCCTGGGATTGCTCGGCTCCCCCGCGCTTGGGATTCGGCACTGAGAGCACACGCACACAGATGGCTTTGGGAGCAGCGTGTCTCGGTTCAGTGGTCTTGGATTTACAGCCCAAGAACTGACAAGCTTTCACACATATGGTTCCCTCAGAAAGGCTTCCTGTCGACTCTAACCTGTGAAGGGCTATTCTGTGCATTTTTAAAATCCAGCCCAGGAATTCATAAAATACCAGTGAGAGAGGAATAAGAACACTTCAAATTCTGAAGTAAAATCAGCTTAATGTAAAGGAATATGGTGAGGAAGGGTAGGAATCTGTTTCAGTGTACAGTAGAAGCTCAGTGTGGCTGTGCTGTGCTTATTTTTTATCAGGAATTTTGAAAGCTGTATACAGCTATTTGTGACATCTGATCTCAGACTGCTGATAGCCCTGAATTCCTGGGGAATAATTGATTCAGCACTTCCAATTAGTATGCTGCTCATTTTAGCATGAAGTCTAATTGTGTTTGTTTCCACAAAGCTGCATCAACACAAAAAGCTTATTATTTTTGAGGAAGATTGAGGATCACAGTGGATTGTTCTAAGGGGATTTTTTATAAAGCAGTGGTGGTTCACTGTCTCATGAAATTGGTGAGAGATGCTGCACAAACTTGAAATGAATCCGTTGCAAAGCTTTGGTGTGGATTTCTCCTACACCCCCCCGACCAAAACTTGCAGGAGCACCAGACCAAATGATATTGATGTTTGGAGGTTTTGTTCTCCTGAGACTGATTCTCTTATCTCAGACACAGGTTTCATCCTACCCTAAGGCCTTGATATTCTATCTTATTTTCTACATCTTGGCTTTAAGGTGAAATAAAACTGTGAGTAAATAACAGCTGGACATTTTGTGAGATAAGCCCTAGTGCTAGGGCACTGTGTCCTCATATACTTTCAGAGCCATTCAACATAAGACAAGTTATCTGTGTTTTCCTCAGGGATGCAGAAAGTCCTTCTGGTTTTCTTTTATTTTTTTTTTCCCAGTCTCTTAATCTCAGAAATTAGTGTATGAAAGAATTTGTGTTATGTCAACAAAAATCTTTTTTTAAAAGAGAGCAAGATTTATTTTGCTTTCAATAGTTTGCATAATCTTGGTTTGCTGGAGTATTTGTGGAATTTGCGTGTCTTAGTATGTGTGAAGCCAAAAATGACTGTGGAACAAGCAAAACTGCAAACTAATTTTTTCAGCATCAGAGGTCCAGAAGTGTTTCTTTTCTTCCTAGAAAAGATTACATCTCTTCCCAAAATCAAGTCCCAGTGTATCTTTTTTCTTACTTCTCTATATTTTCCTAAGGGGACCTGAAACATAGTCTAGACTTTTGTATTTTTGTATTGTATTTTCAGAAATGTGAAATTTCTGCAGCAAAACAAACAAGCAAAGGAAGAAACCAAAAGCCCTTTAGAAACCTTTAGCCCTTTTAGAAAGTCTAGATGGACACTGTGGTTTTTTTTTCAGGATGACTAAAAGTTAGAATAATTTGGGTAGGTAATTGGCGGGTATGCAGACTAGGAGAAAAAAATCCTCAAACAAATGTTCGATAAATGTTTGATAAATGTTTGATAAATGTTTGAGCTCTTTTGCATTATCCTAGCCAGAAAGTCAAAACCAGAAGAGGTACATAGTAAGTGTTTAACTGGCATGTGTGTGGCTCTGAATTTTTGCCTGTTGGGTCACAAGCTGCAATGCCAGATTGCTTTTGTGCTATCCTAGTTTCGCTTGCAAACTAAAAATTTCTCAAAAAAAACAAAGCAAAACAAACCACCAACAAAAAAACCCAACAAAAAAACCCAAAAAACCCAAAACAATCTGATGATGACTTAATGCTAAATTGAATGGAGATCTAGAGGAGCTTTGCCCTGTTCTGTGGGAGCCTGTATTTTATGTTCAGTTTTATAATGCACTTTAAATCATGTCTTGTGTCTACAGTGTTGTCCTCTTTTCTCTCTTCATATATGTTATGAGACAAGGAATGCTGTTATGTGCTCGTTTTATAGAAATTGTAATTCCTCTCAAATACAGCTTGAAAGTAGGGACTTCCTAAGAGCATCCAACAGCTTCAATCAGAAATAGGCTTAATGTCATCTTGCAACAGAATCTGTAGGAGTGACATAGTTACTGCAACCAGAATTAGCTTAGAAAACTGTTACTGATAGCCATGAATTTTTTAGTATGCATTTTAGCAAGCTGACCCTTCCTCCTCTGGGGAATGTGTGCATATTCATAAGCCTGATGGACATAAGAAAAAAAATTAAGCATGAGTTCAAAAGAAGAATAGCTTTTTCTCTGTTTTCCTGTACTAAGAGATACCAATAGATGGATTTTCTACACTGGAGACATAAAAAGGAAATTTCCGAAGGAAATTGGCTTATCAATTTCATTGGTGGGTGGCTGTGGATATTTTAATCCCCTGAACAGGAATTCGAATTTGTTGGACTGCATGTGTTGTCTGTGGTTTCTGTGTGGTTGGCATAAAAGGCAAACATGCCCTTTAAGGAATTGCTCAACTCCTTGTGATTTACCCATTCATCTGTCCACCCTTCTTTCACCATCTGCTTCTTCCGCTGTGGACATGCGAAGTTGCTCCATGCCTGCAGCAAAATGCAGCCTGGATGGTTCACAGTCAGGCTTTTCCATGCAGCAGAGTTTCCCTGTCTTTGCAAGCACGGATGGACTTACCTCTTTGTCAAGGTGTAGCCCTGT